ATTAGGGTTAATAGTCCCCCTTAAGTAGATAGATTATGGCTTTGGGGATATCATAATAAGATCACAATATATATAGTATTCTATCTACTTGAGGGGGACTATAGCCTGCAAACGTGACGTAGCTGATCATGGCCACCAGTACCTCAACAGACCTGGACAACCAGGTTGCTTGACAGGCTTTTAGTCTACTTGTAGGGTTTAGGGCTTAGGAGGGGATTGCTTTTTGTAACATGTTACTCACCATCCTCGTATCCAAACCTGAAACCCTAAACCCAATTCGCGGTTGGCCCTTACTTTGGCTATAGCTACATGTACTCAGCAGGCTACCCCAGTGATATATGGGGATGGGAAGGAGAGTACAAAGTTCCTATTCAGGATGATGTGAAGATTTTGCTGATTGATTCCCATGTAAGTAAGGAGACTCCTCCAAGTGCAGTCCGAAGACTTTGCATTTGCAGAGAGCCACGAAGAGATAGGTACAAATATTGTTTGGATGTGTTGTCTGCTTACCCCACTTGGAAGGTCAGGGGGACTAAGTAAGTAGGCTACTACTATAGAGGTTATTAACCTACTTACTAAGTCCCAGTGCCCCTCCAAGTAAACCTTGACCCCTAAAGCTCCCAAGCAAAAGGCAGGCTTTGGTCCCCGCAGGCAAACAAGTCGCGTGCCCTTTGGGCTCTGCAAGAGGTTATATACCTAGTCAAGTCAGCTGCTCCTTATGCGTACACTATTCCCTCGATCTGTGTCGGACAAGAGCCGTGCAGAGAACCACTTTTGGCAAGACCTCTTTCGCTGAAAGCGAGGGGCCAACTCGCGATCACTTCCCAGAAAACGAAGGGCCACTTTGCTTTGGGGGACCTAGGGGTCCGGGTAGGTATATAGTATACTTAGTCCCCAAGGGGTTCCTAATCTTAAGCACCTCGGCATATACGATATGGAAATATGGTTCCCCATCACTGGAGCAATATCCTGCTATAACCCCTGTACAACCCTGTCCTTTTGGTTCTGAGTAGGGAATGGGTTTAGGGCTTAATTAGTGATTTACAGTTAAGGCTGGCATCCTCGTACTAAGCTACATCTCTTGCTTAATAACCTCTATGAACGGCCCGGACCCTAAACCCTGAACCCAGGTGGAAGCTGCCGTGGACCACATACTGAGGGGGTTTAGGGGGTCTAGGCGGTTAGGGTTCAGGGTTTAGGGTTCAGGGTTTAGGGTTTAGGGCTAAGGGTTTGGGGTTTAGGGTGTAGGATTTAGGGTTCAGGGTTTAGGGTGTAGGGTTTAGGGTCCTTCAAGGGTCAGGAAAACTGAGTAACTGTAAATAGAATTTTCCCTGAGCCAAATAGGAAGCCCAGCTAACCTACCCACAAAGTCCCTCAAACCCTCCAAAGACACGTTTATCGCTAGCTTCCTCATTCCTTGGAGGGTCAGGGAGACTTCGCAAGTAATATAGGGGCCTAATTAATTAACAAGATTATGGTTCCATTTTCCTTGTATAATTCTAGTATATGGTACCTCAAATAGACCTCAAAAGGAAATCGGTAATTGTTCAGGCCCCCATATTAGGTTACTAACGGGGCTAATAGTTTTACGTAAAGGGTTAAAGGGCGTATAAGCCTACTTACTAAGTCCCCCTGACTCTCCACGTATGATGTAAGGCTTAAGCTCGCATATACGTAACTTGTAGCGTCACAGTGGCAAATATGGCTTCGAATCTGGCAGCACCGTCACGAAGTTGTTTGTGCAACAGTTTGCAACATCACTACTGGCTGCCTTCATTGCGATGATTATTTGGTTGCGGCCTAAGCCCTAAACTCTATATCATAACTCCAATTAACGTAGCAGTTCCGATTTCTGTCGCACTTCCCATCCTGAGCGGTTATTGAAGAAGCATCATGATGATAGAGTATCTCCAGTCTTCCGTACCACAGCCCATCCCTGAGGGTTTAGGGTTCCAATCATCGTAAGTAAAAAGTCCAAAACCTCAAGGTACTGTGCCGAACAATTAAAGCGTACATGCTCGCAGACTTATACACGTCTGACCGACATTCTGAACCCTGGGACTCGTCGCTTATTATCCCCAAATTTCTCCTATCTATACCTGCAAATCCTTATGTAACCCTATATAGCGATCCCTTAAAAACCCTTAGATATACCCTACAAACCGTACATAGTCAAGCCCGCATTTGTCCTCAGGCTGTAGCCATTTCTGTTCAGGAAGCACATGTAGCTGCACGCGGCCACTGCCCAAACAGCATGTGGAGTAGTTGCTTCAAGAAGATCGTGCAGGATTTTGGCGACTTTCTGTGCAGGATACGGGTTTTTCACATGTGGAGCTTGTGAAAGGAGAAGAATTAAGTGCAAGAGTATATAAGTTATAGTCTAGACTCCTAATATCCCCCCTTAATATGCCCGAAATTACTGCCCGTTATAATCCCCTTATATAACCCCTCTCATATTACACTTTTGCGGCGTGTTGGGCTCTTTGGCTCCAAAATGGCGGACGAAGCTGGGGACGATGAGGCCAGACCCGAACTGCTCCGTAGACCGTATCTGTATGAACATCCCGAAATACTCCTAGATCGTCCTTTAATACCCCTACATACTCCTATTTACCCCCTTTAAAGGGAGTCCTTGCCTAAACCCTGGACCCCTAAACCAGCTGCACACCTCCTGGATTTGTTGCCCGGGACACCCTCTCCAAGTTCCTGAGATCGGGTTTTGGGATCCGGGCTTAGGTCAAAGACACAATGGGCCAAAAGTCCCCAAAAGACAACCCAAAAGGTTATGAATTTACCTCCTTTGGGTCTTTAGGCAAGTTTAGTGTTTGGATTGTAGGGCTGGGAAGTATTCAGTTTTCTGAGAGGCCAGGTAGCCCTAAGTATCTCCTATATACCTCCAGTGTGCGTGATGATGCAATGGTCTAGGCCTGGGGCCTCAGAGCCTGGTGGGGTCTAGGGTTTAGGACAGTGTAGGGTTTATGGTTTCGGTTTAGGATAAAAATGCTGATAAGGGTTTAGTGGTTTAGGGTCTATGAATTTTTTGCTGAATAAAAAGGGGACGAGAACTTGGAACGTGAAATGGACACTTGGCTGGTACAGGGGCTTCACAGGAAGACCTACAAATTATGGTTCGAGATTCCTGGTAAAATCATGGTGTGGAATACACACTACCCAGATGAGCAACGAACTACCATCAAAGAACACGGACCAATTATCTCTACAAGTTGTTGCTGAACTCATGGCTTTCGCAACACAAGTTGCTGCCGCTCGATGCTACCTGAAGTTACAGGTTTGGTTAGCTGGGAATGAAGGAAACTATAATGGGTTATGTAGGGACGACCTAAACCCTAAACCCTAAGCCCACTACTATATTATCCATTGTGAATCAGAAAGAGAAAGAGCTGCAAGCGGTCAAGATGCTGGTTGCGGTAGTCGCGCGGCTCTCTGCTGCAAGCTCGGGGCATCCGCCAAAAGCACCCAGTGACATATGGTCCCCCTTAAGTAGATAGAATATGGCTTTGGGTACATGATAATAAGATCCCCATATACCCCATAGCCTATCTACTTAAGGGGGATTGTGGGGAATGTCACAGAGACATTTCAGCTTTCATGCGATTTGGATGCAAGAGTCCAGAACGAAATCATCTCCCCAGCGGCTTCGGCCCTTTACTGGCAACGAGCACTTGGAGGGTCAGGGGGACTTAGTAAGTAGGTTGATAGGCCCTAAAACCCATATAGTAACCCTAAATTTCACTTTTATGAACCTGCTTACTAAGTCCCCATGACCCTCCAAGTAGCATTTGCTGCCTGCTTTTCAAAATCCTGGTTGACCTGGCGTTGCTCAGGCGCATTCGTTAGACGGGTGGCCGGACAGGCAGTGTTTACTCAGGTGGAGTACCCTAAACCCTAAAGCCTAAACCCTAAACCCTGAACCCTGTAGCGCTGAAGCTAGACAAGTTGATGCGCTACCTGGAGGCTCATGGGGACTTAGCATGTAGATTAATAATGGGGATAATAAGGGTTTAGGGTTTAGGGTTTGGGATAATTAGGGTTACCATTATGGGTTATAGGGGTTATCAACTTACTTACTAAGTCCCCTTGATCCTAAACCCTAGGCCCTAAACCCTAAACCCTGTACTTACTAAGTCCCCCTAAGTAAGCCTATCCACCACCTTCAACCCCCGAAGGTGTGAGCGTGTTCTCGAGACAAGCATTACAAGCGGTTCAGGGTTTAAGGTTACACATCCCGTATAGTCAATCCGGGGGGGGGTTTTCCATATTCGAGACCCGGATTAAAAGATACCCGTACCCCTTTGTTGCTACGTCACCCCAAAGAAGGAACGGAGTACCGGCCCAGAGACTCAAGGGTTTAGGGTTTACGCGCCACCCGCTTACTTGGAGGTTCTTTGGTGAGTCATAATTGGGTAATGCGACGGACTACTACTTGTGACTACCTATGAACCCTCCAAACGCTAAGCACAGACCCTACCCTAAACCCGAAACCTCAAACCCTAAGCCTCGTCATCCCAAGAATCTCCACATCCCCTGTAGAAGGCTTGAAATCCTCTGTATCTACCTATGGACCTCTAGATCCCGAAGCCTCAAAACCTAAAATGCTACGATCTACCTCCCATGCCCTATATGAACTACGGTCTAAACTCCTTAAAATGTAGGGTTTAGGGTCTAAACTCCTTAAAGAGGGGGATGTAAATAGAGATTGTATCGGGGACTCCTTTTGGGGTAACTAAGCGGGGTACTAGGAGTTTAGACTATAGCTCTATTATGGGCTATGGTCAGTATTAAGCTTATTAAGGGACCATTAAGGTTTGAAAATAGAGTTCCTTTTGCTAGTCTAGTTTACTCCTTGATATATACTCTAATGAGAATCCACGTGGTCATTTGAGAAGTATTGACTGTAATTGCTTTTAAAACCTCTGTAATGGCTTATAACTTACTACCCACCTCAACCCTAAACCCTTATCCACCAGTGACTTTGGCAGGTGGTCATTGAGGAGCTCTCCCCAAACGGGAAGTCTGCCTTCGACCACTCCAAGGAAAGTGTGGGTTGAGTACTGCCCCCACTCATGAACTCCTCCAGGTGGCTCATATAGGGGATCATATAGGGCTTAGGGTTTACGGTCTAACTTCCTTAAAGGGGATTCTATGTGGCATTATATAGGGGAGTATGATAGGGATTATTAAGTGGGATGCTAGGAGTTTAGACTATAGCTCATACAGAGCCCTTATTATGACTCCTATTGTAAACTGTCAATGCGCGTTGGCAGAACGGTTAGATTCCCCCAAATGAGCAGGGTTGAGGGTTCAGGGTTTGCGGTAATAAGAGGATTTGTCTGCCCACCCCGTTTAAGCAGGACCCGTTAAACATCACATGAGAGATCATGGGGTCCTGACGTGGGGAGTTGGGGTGGCGCAAAAACCGTACTATAAACCCTAAACACTAAACCCTAAACCCTACAGAACAACAAAGGTTTAGGTACAGAGGCGACCTTTGCCTCGAATTACATGTCCTTGAGCTTTATGAATAGAAACTCTTATATATATATAAGGGTTGTGTTGGGGTTATATTAGGATTATATTATACGCTTTGAAATGGGCCAGAAGGAAGGTGTGCGTTTTGAAGGTCTCAGGGAGAGGATTTGGGGAGCACCAAACCTTGTACTAAGGACAGTTTTAAGGTCCCAGGAACGTCAGGGCGTTAGGTTTAAGGAAAAGGGTCTATGTTATTACGGTTTAGCGGTCAGGCTTTTAGTGAAACGGCTTAGGATTTGAGACTTGGGTTTTACTTCAACTTAACCTTACCCCTGTAGACTACGGTCCCTGAAATAAAGATAGTCGCAAACGGTTCCACGTGAGTTACTGTCAATATGAGGGATACCAAGGAACCGTCAAGGGTGCACATGGTAAAAGTTCCTCATAAATTTCCGGGTAAGGTGCCCATGCTCATGTAAAATGAGGGACAGGTTTAAGTGTAGCTCATGTCAGTTTGGGGGAGGGTGAGATCAACAAAAGTTAGAATTAGCGGGTTTACGGTTTGAGAGGTCTTAAGATTTGGGTGTTTTGGGTTTACGGCTTTAGGGTCCGGGTTTAGGGCCTGGGGCCACCAGGATGCTTGCAACTGAGGTCCTTGGCCAGGGCACTTATGCCACACTCTATAAGGCCCGGGGTTTAGGGTTTAGGGTTTAGAATTCAGGGTTTAGGGTTTAGGGATCGGCTGATGGATACACTTTCGCAGCGAAGATCTCTAAGCCGACTGAGTATGACTGCTTCCGAAAGATCCTTCATCCGAGCATTGGGCTTTGTCATGGCATGGCTACATCTGTCCAGTCGGCTGGGCTCCTCGTAGAAGTTGGCTTGAGCAGCCTGAGGGGGTTTTTGAAGAAGCAGCCTGTTTAGGGTTTAGGGTTATAGCGTTTGGGGTTTAAGGTTTAGGGTTCGGGTTTAGGGTTCAGTCCTTGCGGGCCATTGTCATGCGCTGGCAGTTCGCTGCGCAACGCGGCAGGGGCCTTGACAATGTTCACTCGAACAGGTTGGTGCATTGTGACTTGAAACTTCGCAATGCTTAGGGTTACCGTAGGTGGTAGGGTTTAGGGATGAGGGGTGTTTAGGGTTTACGGGTTAGAGTTAAACCAGTGCTTCGGTACAGGCTGTCAAGCTGAATGTCTAGAAACAAAACATGTCGCACAATCGTTGGCCTTGAGAGATGGGTAACATGTGCAATCCGCGTGATGAACCGACGACCATCCTTCAACAAAAACTCGACCCCATGCCATACTATCCCAAAGGGTCCGTGTAGTCATATGGTATTTACTTGGCCCTTCAAGTAGGTACATGGGAACCCCTTTGGGCCCTAGGTATATACCATATACCTACATGGACCCTTTGCGTAAAGGACCCTCTTACACCCAAGTAGAATTAGCGATACTTACCCTAAACCCTAAACCGCTTTGAATTGTACCAATTCTGTGTCCATCTCGGCAGGAATCGAAGCTTTGCTGCGATCTGGGTGGTTGTCAAAATTATGGTCCCTTTTGGGGTACCCTAAATATAGGGATTATAGGTACTATATTGGGGTTCTATGGGGATAATGGAAAAGAAAATGGAAACTACTATATTGGGGTCATATATACCCTATTAGTCCCTTTTGGGGGGTACGCTAAATATTAGGTGCCGTATTATAATAGGGATCCAAAAAGGGACCATAATTTTGACAACCACCCATATAGTATTGCCAGACCAGCACTATGTCGAGGGCAGGGCTTCGTTGATTCGGGGAGGGGAGTACTTGTTAAACCCTAAACCTAAAAACCCTATAAACCCTACACCCTAAGACCCTATAAATCCTAAGCCAACGGGAACCCAAACAACCAGAAACGCATCGGCGTCGGACAAAGTCAAACGATCTTTGTAGGCTAGGACCCGTACAGGGGATTGGGCCACAGCTGTTAAACCCAAACCCTAAACCCAACCCGAACCCTAAACAATTGTAATCGTCAAACCTCATGACAAACGCAAAGCTCTCCCTCCAAGCAAAGCAGGACAAGGCAAAAGACTTGCGGGCGCCTCAGATGGGCGATAGTCTGAACTCCTAGTATCCATATGACCCTCAAATAGGGGTATAGGGTTTAGGGTTTTGGGTTTCGGGTTTAGGGCCAGGGGGCATATGAGCTACAGCCTAAACTCCTTGTATCCCCCTTGATAATGGAGAATCAAATGGAAAAGAAAATGGAAAATTAGATGGACACTGCTATATGTATATATATATGTATATAAGATTATGTAGGGGATTATAGAGGTTATAGTCTAAACTCCTAGTATCTCTTAATAAGCTCTATAGTAGTCCCCTTGCTAATCCCTTATATAACCCCCCGTAAGGAGTTTAGACTACAGCGCAGATGGGCGTCTTTAAAAATGACGGGCCCTAAACCCTAAACCCTATACCCTGGGCCGGTTTTCGAAATCCCCAAAAAACAGGAAACGGCAAAATACAACAATAACACCTCACCTCGCCGCAAGTGGCGGTGTATACAGGAAACTGGTCGGGGTTTAGGGTTTAGGGTTTGAGTTTTGGGTTTAGGGGCTCCTGCTAAACCCTGAATCCTAAACCCTAAGCCCTAAATCCTCATAACCCTTACCTACATATCTCCCTGGGAGCCTCTAAGCGTGCATCTATGTCGGGAGACCGCAAAGCTAGAAGATTTCACATCCCGGCCCGAAACTTTAAACCCTAAGGCCTATGCTTAGCGAGGGTTTAGGGTTTAGGATTTAGGGACTTGGAGGGTCCGGGAGACCAAGTAAGTAATGACGGGGATAGCTGATGTTATTATGCGGCTTATTGTGGTTAATACCAAGTCCCCTTCATCCTCCAAGTAAAGATTCCTTGCTCTTGGTTACTAGTGCCTCTTTGGAACTTTGCAGTTCCATCCCGTGAATCCAGTCATATGAGATTTCCACGATTTGTGGTTTCCCTATGGGAGGGTCCCTGCAATATCGGAAAATATCATATGATTGGTACTGAAAACACTGCGTGATGCAAAAAAAACACACCTCGTGATTTCTGGTAGTCAAATCTTGGCGGTCGTGCAGGGTTTGAGTATCAACCATAGGGAGACTTCAGATCCTTTTTTGTGGGGAATCCTTGTAGTTAATATTAGATTAGAGAGGCACATTGGCGGCTAACTGTCATGGACCATACATTTGGCTATCCAAAAGATAGGTCCTCTTTTTGATGGTCCAGAACTATAGCATTTTGGTTGAGAAGGACAATCTCTGTTTTTGAGAATCTGCACATCCCTGAAGGCTTGAATAGCCCAAAAAGGTATATTCCTAGACGTAGATCCCCATGGTATGATGCATGAGCGAAATTGGACATCATAACCATGTCCTGCATACACCCAAAACTCAGCAGTGGCTGAGGGAACCTGGGCTGGGAATCTGGCATGCTTTCATGCATTGTTGTTATCCTTCCTGTCGATGTTAGAGTGAATGTTGGCATGAGGGTTGTTGCTAATAATCTACTGCTACCGCTACCGCCACCGCCACCGCTACCGCTACTGTTGCTGCTGCTACTGTTATTGCTACTGCTACTGCTACTGCTACTACTGCTACAACAACAA